TGTGTTATCTCAGTTGTGCTTTTCAAACAGTTGTTGACAAAGTGAGAGTACTGGGCTTGGCATCAGGGACACTCCTCTTCCTGAGTTCAAATATGGCCTCAGACACTTGACACTGGCTGTGTGACCCTCGGGCAAGTCAGATTTCATGACAACACTGTTGTTTCCCTTTTCCTCTGTCATGATGACTGTCAAGTAGTATATTATCAAAGTAAATAACAGTCTTTTAAGAATGGTTTTTGCCCTTAGTTTTTGGCCTATTGGGCAGAAATCGGATATAAACATATGTGTGTGTATCTGCACACACGTATGTTTTTATTTGTTGATTTATTTTTTAAAAAGACATTTGGCAAATTATTAAAAACATGATCTTTAAGAACCTACATAGACAGGTGTCTCTCACAAATACACAGTTAAATAAGATTTCTTAGATACATAATACTGTTGAAAGGACTCTATTTAGTGATATGCTCAGAGCTGACAACAAGTAAAGAAACAAGTTTTCTGAAAGTGTTTGCTGTTGCTTTGGAAGATAACCTATAATAATTACAAAGTAGATTTTTCTTTTTTTGTTGGGGAGGGTGAGGCAGTTGGGGGTTAAGTGACTTGCCCAGGGTCACACAGCTAGTGAGTATCATGTATCTGAGGACGGATTTAAACTGAGGTCCTCCTGACTCCAGGGCTGGTGCTCTATCCAGTGCGCCACCTAGCTGCCCCCAAAGTAGATTTTTCTAAATACTGCTCTTCACAAGTGATGATAAAAAGTTCATCGTCCCCAGTGCCTAAATAAATATTAACCATTACCACCCCAATTTAATTTACCTTAATGAAGAATCAAAATGAATTTTTAAAAAGGCAATTGTCCAGATTATGAATGAGGACCTAAATGTATCATCTATCAATTTATTGCCAAAATTCTCTTGGCAGTATAGAATTAACTAGATGATGTAGGGAATACACTGGACTTGAGGTCAGTTAAAATCCTTCTTTAGATCTTGGGCATGTCATTCAATTTCAGTTTCTTCCTCCATAAAAAAGGGACAGAATTAGCAACTGCATCATAGCCTTGCTGTAAAGAATGAAAGGAAATAACATGAAATGCTTTCCAGACTTTAAAGCACTAATAGTGCAATTAGGGTTAGGGTTAGGGTTAGAACATTTTGTTTCACCAACATTTAGCGATGTCTTTTGTGTAGCATGTAAGTTTGATAAATGTAAGCTGAATTTAGTTAAATACTGTAATCTCAGAAGAATTAAAAGCAGAAATAACCCCAAAGTGGTAACTATTATTGAAGATACTTAGGTTAAAAAAAGAAGGTGATGTGATCATACCCTTATAATGGAATTTAACACATGGGAGAGACAAAAGTACAAACACCTTGAACATTCTTAACTTGCTCATAAAATTGCGCTATTATAGTTCTATTCCTACTAGTTCTCAGTTTCTTTTTTTTTTAAAATAAGGCGTTATTGGTACTTTGTTTCCTGAATCACCATAGTATCCCATTTTATTCTTTACTTCTCTCAGATATCCATTCCATATGACAGTTAACAATTAGGCTGATTTTGGTATCTTGAAAAGGTCTGAAAACATGTGCAATGGGACTTCTCCCACAAAAGGGTATAGGTTAGGGATGTCTAATCTCTCTTCATTTGAGTTCCACTTGATCTGTTGTTTTTCTGTTTATTTTCAGGGTCTTTGAATTTTCTTCCTGTGGTATTTTCAGCTCCTCTTCTCTCCTCATTACTTTATGACTCATTTCCTGAATTGAGATTTCCTTAGGGCCTCTTCATACACTAGGCAGTTCACTAGCTCAGGCAGATGTTTGTTACTCTACTCTCTCGCAGAGATCTGTTATATTGAAGAAAATTGCTATAATGCAAGCAAATTATTTAGTGTAGTATGTATGTAGTCATCACAAAATATGGGAGGAGAGAAATGAGGTGAATCTCAATTTTGTGAGGTAGTTTATTCCATGGTGGCCTTGATTCTTGTAGTGTGATAAATGCTGAATGAGTTTTGGTACTTGATATCCTGGAGAAAGCTGAAGTTGCTTTATTTTCTGTTTTGGACTGTGAGGATTAGAGAAAATGTCTAGTCCTCTTTATAGCTACATGCCTTTCCTGGAAGTTTTCTACAGCTTGTATTTGAAACATATGGCTTTTTTTCTGCGCTGTGTCCATCACCTGTCATCTGGAAATATAATTGATTGTTACATTTTCCAGAATTGTTTTTCTTTATAATCAATGTGGAACATTCTTCTGGTTTGCACATATCTTGTATTTTATCAATTCATGCCACCCAGGATTCTCTGAAATCTTTTTTTTTTCCTCATTTCTTATGATACTGTATTTCATTACATTTACTTATGGGATGTTCTGGTGCGAAACCTTTTTCAGGGCTGCTCATCCGCCTTTTGTGTCCACCTTCATACAATGCTTATGTGTGATCCCAAGGAAAGCAGAGAGAGCCTGGTAAGATGCCAAGGGCATCCACTAATTCCATCATCAGTTGTCCCGATTTTTTTCCTGCCAATGAACTTAAGTAAGAGAGAAGAAGGATGATGATTTTATTCCTCACTTAAATCCATTTCACACATATCATCACTTTGTGATGTCATTAGTCCTCATTGAACACAAACAAGTAGAAAACAAAAAAGAACATCCTGAAAATCTTTTATTTTTGCAGAGACCTTGATGTGGAATAAACCCATCCTCAGTGGAGTGGCTCCTCTTCCTCGAAGTCTTCACTCTGCTACTACCATTGGAAACAAGTTGGTTGTTCCCTGTTATTCTGTTTTTCTTTACCATTATCTTTTTCTGACCATAAACTCATTTTAGTCTAAATTTACTATCTTGATGTTTTCATACAAAGAAATTTAGTACACAATATAGTACAAAAAAAAATATTTGAAATCTAGAGACAAAAGCTTGGCATTGGAATATTCATTCAAAACTCAAATAAAAGGATGCAGGACAGTTGTAAATACCTTAATAATAATCCATAAAGAGAAAGAAAGATAATGCATAATTATCTTCATGTTAAGAAAGACAGAAGAATGATGAATATTGAAGGTAACATCCATTTGATACTGAAGTATGTGAGAATTTTTTGGGTCAAATAATAACAACTAACATTTCTATATCTGCATTTTACAAGCACTTTGTGTATATTGTCAGCATGTACTTACTAAGCATCTTTGATGCTACATTCTGGTAATAAATTTCCTCACAACAATTCTGTGGAGTTATCTTTTCACAGAGTTCACATTTCACATATTAAGTAACTGAGGCACAATAAGTATCTAGAGTAGGATTAGAATTCAGCTCTTCTTGGCTCAAAATCCAGCACCCTTTTCTGTAAAGAAGCTTTATTTCAGATTGCTTCAAAGACTCATTCTTTCTACATCTTTTGTTCTCTTGCCCCCAGAATGTATGTGTTTGGTGGCTGGGTACCTCTTGTCGTGGATGATGTCAAAGTAGCCACACATGAGAAGGAGTGGAAGTGCACCAATACACTGGCGTGTCTTAACCTGGGTATGTAATAAACTAAGAACTCATGACCAGATCATTTAGCAAGCATCAGGGCTTTATGGTCATAATAGAATAAAAGATATTTGTGTGGATGGGGATGATGGTGATAGTAACAGTAAAGGAGACTCCATTCTTACATGCACTTAATTCCTTTTACCAGGTAGGTGGAATGGAGACTACCTTGTGCTAATTGGAAATGTGATCAAATCCTCCAAAAACACAAAACCCAAAACTCTCTTCTTTTGCAGAGAAAGCCATCTGTTTTGCCCATTTCTTTTCCCTAATTGTTGTTTTGAAATGTATTTAAAACCCATTTTGAGCTATTGATTATGTTTTGCTTCCTGTTTTCTTCCCCATTCCAGATACTATGACATGGGAGACTATCTTAATGGATATGTTGGAAGACAATATTCCCCGTGCCCGGGCTGGTCATTGTGCTGTTGCAATCAATACACGACTGTACATATGGAGCGGAAGAGATGGCTACCGAAAAGCCTGGAATAACCAGGTTTGCTGTAAGGACCTCTGGTACTTGGAAACAGGTAAACCAAACTGCTTAAGAGGATCAAAGCTGGGTTAGTTATGTCTAGGACCATTTTTCTTCGGCATCTTGCTATTCTTTTTTCTCCTTACAGAAAAGCCCCTAGCTCCATCTCGGGTACATTTAGTTCGAGCAAACACGAATTCCCTAGAGGTGAGTTGGGGATCAGTGCCAACAGCTGACAGCTACCTCCTGCAACTTCAGAAATATGAAATACCTCCTGCAGCTGCTGCCACTTCACCAGTGGCCAATCCAGTTCCGTCTGTGCCTGTCAATCCTCCCAAAAGTCCTGCTCCAGCTACTACAGCCCCTACAGTGCAGTCCCTTACCCAAGTGGGCATCACACTTCTCCCTCAAAATTCTGTGACTCCCCCACCTACTACCCCTATCCAGGTCTTGCCAACAGTGCCTGGAAGTTCTGTTCCTGTGCCCACTCAAGGTGAGTTACTTGGCTAGTTTTGTTCAATCTCTGAAGACAAGAGTTTGGTTCAGGATAGGCAAGTCTTGACTTAAGTATCTTAGTCATAGAATTTCCTCTGTGTTAGTGGGTGAGAGAGAGAGAGGAAGATGAATTTGAACCAAACCGTATTCAGTAGCCATAATACAGCTTTTTTCTGAGAAATATGAAAGGAAGAAAAATGGAAAAGGAAATGATGGAAATGAAAGAACCATCCATTATGATGGGATGTTGCAAAGAGAAATAAGTTGAAAACTAGTACCATTTAGCACAAAATAATCAATGCTGAATGGGGTAGTTTTGATAGCATTAGAGTAGTTGGCTCCAGATAAGCTCTGCAAAGACTTTACCATCAGGAGTCAAATTCCATTATTTCCCTGCAAAGTATGTGCTTATGTTTATTGAATTGTTTTTGATTGAATGAATGAAGAAGCTCCCTTCTCAGCAGGTATCTCCACAGTCCTTAAAGTAACTGGCCCCCAGGCCACAACAGGAAACACAATAGTCACTGTCCGACCCTCCAGTCAAGCAGGAAAAGCACCTGTCACTGTCACCTCATTGCCTACTGGTGTACGGATGGTTGTGCCAACGCCAAGCTCTCAGGACACGGTGTGTAGGAGTCTGTTTGGCTTTGTGTGTGGGAGAAACATGTCTGTTTACTAGCAATACAGTAAAAGATCTCAGCAAATTAGAAAAAAGTTCAAGTTGAAAATGTCTTTGGGAATCCTAGTAATTAACTGGTAGATACCATTTATCTCTTAGTACTAAAGCACTAAAGCCCACAAGTAAACCCCGTCGGACAGCTGTACTAAGTTATGTGTCAAACCTAGTATAGTCTTCTTTTTTCATGTTTGTAGGTGATAGGTAGCAGTCCTCAGATGAGTGGAATGGCAGCTCTGGCAGCTGCAGCGGCTGCTACCCAGAAGATCCCTCCATCTGTTCCTACAGTGTTGAGTGTTCCTGCAGGCACTACTGTTGTTAAAACTGTAACAGTATCACCTGGAACTACCACTTTACCAGCTACAGTGAAGGTGGCTTCTTCACCAGTCATGGTCAGCCAATGTGTTTGTGTTTTGGGTGTGGGAGGCAGGTTGTGGTGACTCTAAATATAGCTGTATTTGAAGTAGTATACAGGGCACCATATTCTTTCTTTGAACTTAATCTTTTCTAAAATTTGGGTCCGTTTTGTTCTTTTTGGGAGTTATTAGATTCACATGGGAGCTCGACATTTGGGAAATTAAGAGGGGACTAAAATCTTCAAGGAATTATAATAAGAAATATTAAAGGAAAATGTCAGTAATTATTTCTTTTGAAGTATTTTATATTATTCCAGATAGATTTTCTTACCGCATAGTACTTATATGTTTAAGTTTTTCACTTTTTTAGTTTAAGGAGTCTGCTGGAACTTAACTTTTCAGAGCTGAACTAACTCCTTCATAGGCATTTGTAGTGAAGGATAACCCCAGAGATGATAAAGTTAGGTACATTTTTGTCATAATAGCTCTATAAATTAGGTATTGAAAAAATAATAAAACATCATTTCTTTAATTTTATTTTTAATTATTTTTCATTAATTTATTTTGACTTATCAACTATCACTTCCATAAGCTTTTGAGTTTAAAATTTTTCTCCACCTCCTTCCCAAAGATGGCGCATATACATTCCTATTAAACATATTTTCACATTAGTGATGTAAAACATCATTTTATAAATGAAGAAACTGAAGCTCGGAGAGAAATCTTATTTATGTTTCTTTTCGTGTTTGTCTTTTGGTTTGTTTTTGTTACATTTTAAGTTCTGAATTGTGTCTTTCCCTCTCTCACTACCCCACACTACAGAAAATCATATTTGTCATGGGGTATGGGTGAGTGTAAATAAAACCATCCTTGTATACTTCTGTTTATTAATTCTTTCTGTGGATGTGAATAGACTCTTCTTTTATATAAGTCCTTTGTAATTAATTTGAGTATCATAAAATAACAGTGGTTGAGTTATTCCTCACACAGAATTGTTATTGTTAGCAACATGCTCTTGGTTCTGCTCATTTAACTCTTCAGTATTTCATGTAACTCTTTGACTCATCATGCTTGTCATTTCTTAGAGCATAATAACATTCCGTCCCAATCACATACCTTGCTCAGCCATTCCCCAGTTGATGGGCATCCCTTCGGGTTTTTTTTCGAAAATGAAAAACTGCTGTAAATATTTTAGAACATAAAAGTTCTTTTTCCTTTTTCTTTGGGAAAGAAACTTGACACTTATAACTTTATAACTCTTTGGACGTCATTCCAGTCTGAGGGAGTTTTGAGGAGGAATCTGAACCAAGTTCTCCTGATGTCTTTGACATAGAATTCTTAGACTTTTATAATTTGGTTTTCTAGAACTGAGGTTTATATTTTTTATTTTGAGCTAAATCCTTCCACCAGTCTTCCATTTTCTTCCCTGCCTCTGTTCATGTCACTTCGCTTTTTATGCCAGGTGAGCAACCCAGCTACTCAAATGCTCAAGACTGCAGCTGCCCAAGTGGGGACATCTGTCTCATCAGCTAGCAGTACTCCTACTCGTCCCATCATCACTGTTCACAAGTCAGGCACAGTAACTGTGGCTCAACAAGCCCAGGTAGTGACCACTATTGTGGGCGGAGTCACTAAGACAATCACATTAGTGAAGAGTCCAATCTCTGTTCCAAGTGGCAGTGCTCTGGTAAGTGTGAGAAGTTTTTGGCAAATAAAAACTATTTTAAAGTTTGTCTACCAACTCTGCCATTTTATTTGTTGGCATTAGGTCATAATGATTACAGGTTAAGTTTGTAGCAACTTAGACGCCATCTAGTCTACACTATTCATTTTTATATAAGAAAACTGAAGCCCAAAAAATACTAAAATACTAAAAAATAGTAAGTGATAGAGGCAGGAATTTAAATCATCTCCTTATTCTAACTCCAATACTCTTTCCCCTACACATGATTAGTTATGTTAATTACATGACAATTTGGAGAAAGTAATAATTTTGTAATCAGGACCAAGAGTCAGACTCCAGGTACCATTTACTGCCTTTTTATTTTTATTTTATTATTTTTATTCTCTTGTGAGGCAGTTGGGGTTATGTGACTTGCCTAGGGTCACACAGTTAGTGAGTATTATGTGTCTGAGTTTGGATTTGAACTCAGGTCCTCCTGAATCCAGTGCTGGTGCTCTACCCACTGTACCATCTCGCTGCCCCCATTTACTGCCTTTTTAGTATTAAGCAAATTACATTACTTATTCGAGAACAAGTCTCCATTTCCTTCTCCTTAAAATGAGGATTATTATTTTTATAATACCTAAATTACAACTACTATGAGAAGTTAGACTAGATAACCTCAGAGCTCCCATCTAGATCTATAGCTATGATTCTGTGATCTTGGTCTACTCCAGGGGTGGGAAATCTGTGGCCTCAAGTCCACATGTGGCCCTCTAAGTCCTCAAGTACAGTCCTTTGACCAAATCCAAATCCCTTTAGCAAAAGGATTTGTTCTGTAAAACTTGGACTTAGTCAGAAGGCTGCACTGAAGGACCTAGAAGGCCACATGTGACTTTGAGACCACAGATTTCCCACCCCTGGTCTACCTTCTAATTAAGTTTTTCTTCCCTTTTACCGTATTTTTTTCCTTTGTTTTTCAGATTTCTAATCTTGGCAAAGTTATGTCAGTAGTTCAAACCAAGCCTGTACAAACCTCAGCAGTAACAGGCCAGGCTTCCACTAACCCTGTGACGCAGATCATCCAGGTAAAACCACTAGAATCTGTGAGAAAGATAGCACCTTCTCTCTCTCATCACTGTAGTTCTGTAGGCTTTGCATTTTTCACAGTAGGAGTTCTGATCTTTTAGGACCAGCTTTCCATATACAGGAAGCAACTTTCTAGCTTTGGTGTTAAGTCTATAAGGGAAACAATTAGTGTTGTCCTGTACCAGATCTAGTTCCCTGTGTTTAGAGTATGTTTGGGTATTGGCTAAGAATTTCCTTTCTTTCATTCTTGCTTCCTTCTTTAATTCAGTTTTAAGTTCTAAATCATTTTTTCTCCTTTCTCCAGTCATTAAAAGTGAAAGAAAAAAGCCATTAAGAATATATATAGTCATATGAAACAAATTCCCACAGTATCAATGTCCAAAAACAGAAAGAGAAGAAAATGTGCTTCAACTTGCAGTCTGTAAATCCATCAGTTCTCTTTCTGGAGGTTGAAAGCATGTGTTATCATGATTTCTTTGGAATTGGGGTGGGTTGTTGTATTGATCAAATTTTTCATAATTTATTATCTTGGTGATACTGTTGTCACATAAATTGTCCTCCTGATCTAGTAACTTTATTTTGCCTCAGTTTATACATGTCTTCCCTGATTATCCCATTAGATTGTAAGTTCTTGAGGACAGACACTGTCTTTTGCTTCCTTTTGTATCCCAAGCCCTTAACACAGTGCTTGACGCATAGTAGGTATTTCCTAAGTGTTTATTGATTGATTCATAATTTTTTATGGTACAATAGTATTCCATCTCATTCATCTATAACTTGTGCAAGCTTTCCAGTTCTTTAACACCACAGAAAGAATTGTCATAAATATATTTTTACATGTGTGTCCTTTCTTTGCTCTCTTTGGAGTATGTAGCCTTTGGGGCATAGGTAAAAATTGCTTTCCAGAATAGTTCAGAAGTTTACAGTAGTGCTTTTGTATTATAAATGGTTCTCTTCCTCTAACTTCACTTTGCAGCATTTCAAGAAGAACTTAGTTTAAAAGAGCCATGGCTTTTTCTCAAATGTTCATTCTTTTCATGTATTATTTTGCACCAACAGTGAGATATAGGATTGTTATGAAATAGCATGTGCATTTAAGAAAACATGGAGAAATCAGTAGTAAGCAAGAATGGCTTTCTGTGCCCTAGATTTTTCTCTACCTGATAGAAAACTGGATCACACACTTCCCTCTTAATTAAACAGGAAAAGGCTATTTTCTACATAGGCATAAAAGATTCAGATGTTTACTTCTTTTCTCCATGGTACTTCCACAACCATTCACATAGATTAAAGCATGTGGTAGAGGCAAATTCAGTATTTGTAATGGTATTTGTACTAATACAATCCCACTGGTTCTGTTTCTTGTCTGCTTCTTTTTGCTTTTTTAGACCAAGGGACCTTTGCCAGCAGGGACAATTCTGAAGCTAGTGACTTCATCAGATGGCAAACCTACCACTATCATCACAACCACCCAAGCCAGTGGGACAGGAACCAAGCCAACCATCTTGGGCATCAGCAGTGTCTCTCCTAGTACCACAAAACCTGGCACTGCTACCATCTTCAAAACTATTCCCATGTCAGCCATCATCACCCAGTCTGGAGCAACAGGTAGGAGATACTAGTCAGGGAAATCCTTCTTCATGTTACTAGTCAGTATATGTTTAGGTTTCTCTCAGTAGATTAAATTCCAAGTTGGGTTATAAAGGCCATACAGGTTGCTGAGTAACTTAAGAGAGGAATTTGAAGCAGAGCTAATTTATTCCTACCTTCCGTTCTCCTCCTACTTTTTTTAAACTATCAGGGACAGGTGGAAGCCCCTATAATTTGTCTTACGGACTTTTTATTTTTCATTATTACATTGTAAATTTCTTTCAAAGACCTTCCTTGTCTACTCCTTCTTTATTCTTTCAAGAAAGGATTTAAGTAAATTCATAATAAAGAGATAATTGGTTGTTTAGGAGGATAGTAGTATTAAGAGCTTAAATTGTTGAGAACTGTATAAAGGGACAGCTATAAGATTTTCTGTCCAGCTTTAAGTTAGTGGTCTGTTTCTTATTTTTCACCCTCCCAGGTGTAACCAGTAGTACTGGATTAAAGTCTCCCATCACCATTATCACCACAAAAGTCATGACCTCTGGCACAGGAACACCTGCCAAAATCATCACTGCTGTCCCTAAAATTACTACTGGCCATGGTCAGCAAGGAGTGACCCAGGTGAGGCAAATCCAGTATTCTTCACTCATCTCCACTGTCGGTGGACTGTTCAAGAGATTTTGTTCTTTATAATATGTAACCTGAATAGTTTACATTAGAACAGTAGTACTGAGATTTCCTAGTTATGTAGTTGAATGTTTTATTTTGGGCTTTACTTCTGTCATTTTACTTGTAACTTGTAGCTTTGATTTAATTTGTATTTTACATTTATTTACAATATGAATTCAGTTTCCTTATTTTTAAATTGGACATAATAGTAGTCAGTACTACTGCCCACAGCTTGTTATCAGGAAAGAGTGTTATAGAAATAAGTGCTTGCCTTTTTTTTAATCACCTTGTGTTTTTGAATGTGTTAGAATTTTTTGTTCTGGTATTACAGGTTGTACTGAAGGGAGCCCCAGGACAGCCAGGCACCATACTCCGTACAGTGCCGATGAGTGGAGTGCGGCTTGTTACCCCTGTCACAGTGTCAACAGTTAAGCCAACGGTCACCACATTGGTAGTGAAGGGTACCACTGGTATGTGTCTAGAAGATAAAAGAAGGTGGATCCTAAAAGGGAAAATTCCTGTGCTCTGAGACATAAGATGAAATCGAATGAGAAATTAGATGAAATCTAAGTATCCAAACTCTGAGCTCAGCCAACACTGGATCTGAATTGATCACTTTAAGAAGCTATTTTAAAGGTTTATTATTTTTCCTTCAACTTTTTTGCTTTGCTTCTAGTTTCTTTACCACAAACTTCCAAATATGTTTGTTGGTTTACTGTATATTACTGATGATGCAATAAGGCTCTCAGCCCCCGTCATAGCTGTCTTTTGATTTTACTTCATAGATTTAGTCAGCTCTTCAGAGAGCAAGATTTAGCTAAGATAATGTAACAAGCAATAGATGTAAGAAAAGTTGCAGAAAGGATGAAGTCCGTGGAACTGGTGGTGTTGGGAACCTTCATACAAACAGCACCTTCATTTCTCTTTGGTCTCCTTTTCTCTAGGTATTACAACTTTAGGGACTGTAACAAGCACTGTGTCCACCAGCCTTGCTGGAGTCAGTGGACATAATGTCAGTGCTTCCCTGGCTACTCCTGTCACCACGATGGGCACTATTGCTACCCTTTCAAGCCAAGTGATTAATCCTACAGCCATTACTGTTTCATCAGCACAGGCCACAATAACAGCAGCTGGGGCTCTTACCACTCCCACCATTACTATGCAGGTAGGGGCTATAGTTTTATTGTCATTGCCTTGATATCATGCTTAATTTCCTCATTTTCAGATTGAGGGAGTAATAATATCCATGTTCCAGTTGTTTTGGGGTTTTTGTTTTATCTTTTGCAAGGCAGTTGGGGTTAAGAGACTTGCCCAGGGTCACACAGCTTAAAAGTGTCAAATATCTGAGGGTAGATTTGAACTCAGGTTCTCCTGACTCCAGGGCCAGTGTTCTAAACACCGCTGCTCCTTTTTTTGTTTATTTTTCTGTGTTTGTATTTTTGCAAGGCAGTTGGGGTTAAATGACATGCTTTGAAATTAAAACAAGACTATGTGAAAGTGATTTGAGCAACATCTTACATTTATGCTGTATCTATAAAATCTATAAGTTTGACTATAAATAAAAAAATTTGGTGTCTTGTGACACTTTTCCCAGTTACCCAAAAAGTTACTTAAAACATGCAGAAGCTTCTAATGCAAAGGAGAATGTTTCAGCACCATATTTAGTAAATCCAACTATTATGTTAATGTGTCAGTTCACAATAATGCGTGCCTGTGTTGATAGTAAGCCTTTACCTGAAGCCAGCAGGAAGAATTCACAATCATTCAGGGTGTTTAAAAAAATTACATGATTGATGGATTTGGAATTAGCTTTTAAGTGCCTTCAGTAATGTATAACACAATAAATTATCCTTCTGTCTTAGATTCTTTTATTTCCTTCTTTTTTAAGCAGTTTATGCCGACTACAGCTATTGTGAAATCAGAAAGACTGAAGACATAAAGACAAAGTGTTAATTATTAAATGTTTGATGCTGCACTTTTTATTGAATTGGGTGCCATATAGAGAAAAAATACATTTACGCTACACTCTATTATTGCTACTGTTTGGGGATATTCTCTTTTTTTATGTTAATTCACTTTCTTTTTTCTTTTTTTTTGCTAGACAGTGGGGTTAAGTGACAGCTAGTAAGTGTCAAGTGTTGAGGGCAGATTTGAACTCAGGTTCTCCTGACTCCAAGGCTGGAACTCTATCCACTGCGCCACCTAGCTGCCCCCTCTTCTTTTTTTAATGGTTTCATGGGTAGTGCCAGAATTACAAATTTATTTACAAACAAAACATGACAAATATTTTAAAATTTTTAATAGATAGTTTTTTCTCTAGTTTTCATCCCCCCCCGAGAAAAAAGAAAAAAATCCTGTCTTATAAATAAAGGTAAACTTGTGGGTCATTTTAGAAGACAGATTCTATCATCAATAGTCATTAATTCATCAGTAAACAAGTATTGAGTGTTTGCCCGACTATTTTGCAGGTTTCAAGGAGCTTTTATTCTATCGGGACACAACATAGATAAATAAATGTAAAGTAGATATTTAAGTGTGAAGACACAAACAGCTAGGAGTATCAGACAGCGGAGATGAGATGTCAGTCAAAGATTGTTGTGGCCATCAATGTAAATTCTTTCATAGCAACTTAGAATATAGGAAGGGAATTTCTATTACTAATATATATTCAGATTTGAAAAGTAGGTTGAAAATCTTATATTTCTTCCTGTAGGTTAGAGTTGACATTTATTGAGTTTAAAGGAGTGATATGGTTGAACGTGTTTTTTAGGAAAATCCCTTTGCAAGCTCTTCATATGATGAATTGAATAAGGGAGAGACTTGGGGTAGGGAGATCACTTATTTATTAGGTGGGAAATGACAGGTAGTGAGGGCCTTACATAGATGTCCAAGTGAATAGAGAGACAGAAGATTTGGTCACAGATTTGAATATGTGAATAGAAGGCAACTGATTAGTCAAGGATAGCACTAAGGTTTATGTTGTTTGGAAGACTGAAAATATTATGATGATGTTTTCAACAAACAGAAACTGAAAAGAGGGAAATGATTTTTTTAGGGAAATATGATGAATTCTTTTTTGGACATGTTGAGTTTGAAGTCCAATGTAACAAAAACTATGTCGTTTTCTTCACTTTATTAAATAGTGAAACATCAAATTTAGAATAAATTTCAAGTAATACTAAACTGTTGGGTTAATCATCTTCTTACACAGTGTTTTAAGTCTGATATGTGTATCTGTATTTGTGAGAAATCAAAAATTCCTTAATCTAGCCCAAGTAAAAGTAAATATCAAAGTGAAAGGAAAATGTTTGTTATAGAGATGTTTTTATTAATCTGTTTGTTCGCTTATTTTTTTTTTCACTAGCCTGTGTCTCAGCCCAGTCAGGTGACATTGATTACAACACCAAGTGGTGTGGAGACCCAGCCGGTACATGATCTCCCTGTCTCCATCCTGGCCTCATCTACTACAGAGCAGTCGACTGCCACAGTTACAATTGCTGACTCAGGCCAAGGTGACATACAGCCTGGTACTGTGACTTTGGTGTGTTCTAACCCACCATGTGAAACCCATGAGACGGGTACCACCAACACAGCAACCTCAAGTGTGGTAGCCAATCTTGGGGGCTTTTCACAGTCCACACAGGTTCAATTCATTTGCAACAGTCAAGACATTTTATCACTTGGGCAACACAATGGCAATATGATGCAGGCTTGCTTCAGCCAACCTTGTGAAACCCCTGAGGCAAGCACTGCCAGCACTTCCACGGGGATAAATGCCAACTTAACAAGCCCTCCAACTATGGGCATGGGACAGAGTCGATGTTTAAATCTTCCACATGAAACCCACGAAACAAATACCACCAATACAGCCACCACGGCCACATCCACCATTGGTGGACAAAATATCTGCTCCAGTCCACCATGTGAGACCCATGAGACAGGAACCACCAGTACAGCCACTACAATTACATCCAACACGGGCACCAGGCAACCAGTACCTATTAGCTTTCAGCATGAAAAACATACAGATGATACCCTAGCTTCAGTTCAGCCTGTCGTGAGTGGATCTTGGTCTCCCACCAGGCCTTCTTGTCAAACTCATCAGAGTAACTCAGCCAACATTGTCCTGACTATGAAATCCACAGAGGTAACCTCAGCAACCATCATTCAAATTTGCCAAAAGTCCTTATTGAAAGATATCACCACTAGTATTGGTGCTAAGGGGCTTTATACTCAGAGTATTAAAGCTGAGCAAACAAGCTCTTCTACTGTGGGCAATATCATGTCAGTTTGTCATTCTGAGACACATCACATTCACAAAACCATGGGACAGCTGAATATAGATGCCAGGGATACTATTGAGACACAGACATCCACTAAGTATTTCTGCCCAGTAGATCAAAACAATTTGACCATAACTACAAGCGCCACAGAAATGCAGTGTCCCCACCTACCTTCTGATCCTCTTTGTGAAACCTGTAAGATTGATATTACCGCATCTGTGGACAGTGTCCAACAAGTGTATTACAAACCACTATGTGAAATCCATAAAACACATATAAATACAGCCACTACTACAACCTCCCTTATAGTCAGTCATAATAATAGTATACAGCAAACAGTTAGTGCTGTAGAGGCAATTATTGGTAAGAACCAAGAGTCTCCTTGTGGTCCCAGCTCTCCCCACCAAACGTTGGAAACAGTTTCAGATTTGGTGGTGGTATCACCTACTGCCACAACAATTCCCAGGACCAGACCCCACTTAGGAATCACTTCTGGACAAAAGCTGTGTTCTAATCCCCCATGTGAAACACATGAGACGGGTACTACACACACAGCTACTACTGTCACCTCAAATATGGGCTCTAGTGAAGGTGAGTAAATTTATTCTCTTTATCTTATTTTGTAAATAGACAATTAAAGGGAGAAACATGGAGCTTGTACAATTCAAGCCCTTAGGCATCTGTTAAACTTCAGGGATAAACATCCCTGAAGTTTATTTTGTTAATGACAACGTAAGGGATCACAGATGAAGAAGAACAAGATTTTTTTGACTCTTAGTATAATGTTACCTCATAATCTCCCCAAATGTAATCAGCACGCTTTTCAGTTTTAAAGAATTTTGAAGTTTTTGAGATGTTTTCCAACTAGTTTTAATCTTAACACAGTTATCCATTACCATTTCTTCCCTCATAGCTTCTCCACCAACTACTAATGGACAAGAAAATATAGGGAACACCCAAGGGACTTCTGCAATTACCACCAATTGCAGCAGTGTGACACCAGCCATCTCTACCCAGTCACAAGCAGTGACCACTGTGACACAGTCTGCATTGATCCCCAGTTCTTCGGTTCCAGTGAGAACTCTAAATGGAGTTGGATATTATTCTCTCGTTTCCTATCTACAACTTGTTTTTGGTTCTCTAGGAATCTAACTTTAGAGTTATGTAATGTGCAGTTGTCGTCCTCTGCTATGCTTTGTATGTGATTAATAGTTATCCTTTTTTTAAATAACTTCACTTAAATCATTGCATTTTAAATCTTCGTTCTGTATTTAAAATCTCACTTGTCACTGTCTTCAGTGCATTTTTAAAAAAAATTTACAACAGTGTCTTTTCATTCATATTTTAGCTAAGTGGTATTTTATGCTAAAATTTGAAGTTAATTGGCCTGAAAAATCTACTCTTGCCCTTGTGCTATTTTTATCAATAATTTGGATAAAAGCATGTAAATGGTATGCATTCCAGATTATAGATGACATAAAGCTAAAGAGAATAACTGGTATCCAAAAATATCTCAATATAGTCAATATTCTCAGAGTGCAACTAGGTGCTGCAGTGGATGGAGCACTGGCCCTGGAGTCAGGAGGACGTGAGTTCAAATTCAGCCTCAAATTCAACTTAAACTTATTTGTAAAAGGAAAGCAGTGGCCTTTTCTCTAAAAGTTTTCAAGCAAAAGTTGAGTAGCTATTTAGACAAGCATTGTCACACCTTGTCTCTGATAGAGGCATTTCTTCTCTTCTAGAACATCTCACTAATGATAGAAATGCCTCAAGAGGAGAAGACTAACAAAGTTCCTGATACAGATGCAATTTCAAGGACTCTACCTAGCACAGAGGCACCTCTTTCTGCTGCACATATCTTAGATGAAATAAAAACTAAGCAAGAGTCAAGAGAGAAATTGCTACCACCTCTCCTACAGCCACCTATAGAGGAACATTCACAGGCTCTGGAGAACTATCTGTCTGTGGACACAAATAATGCCAAAGAATTCCCACCAGATCAAGATCCTAACAGTTCAGGTATGATAGTGCAACATGCTGAAGTTGATCAGCTTTCTCTGCCCCATGAGTTGATGACTGAGGGACAGATGGGCACCACAACACTGATGATTTCAGGACTTTCCCCAGAAGAGCTTGCAGTCACTGCAGCAGCTGAGGCTGCAGCCCATGCAGCAGCCGGTGAGGAAGCCCAAGCTTTGGCCATACAAGCTGTACTACAGGCTGCCCAGCAAGCTGTAATGGGTAAGTGCCTCATGTGAGGTGTGGTGCTGTTTGTAAGGCAATAATACGTGACATCAAGTATGATTAAACTTACTAATAATGATTGATAACACAAGCAATGAGAAAGGACATGTTGTGAGTACAAAGCAGCACAAGGTGAGCACAGTGAAAATAAACTATTTCAGAGATTTCTGTGGTAAGTAATGGGGAATACAATTACAAAGAATGAAAATTCACAACTACAAGCCTTGGGCAGTTCTGTGAAGAACAAATAGTGTAGATCATTTGGAAAGTTTTTGCAAACAGTTGCCCTGTGTGTAGGGATCCTAAGTGGTCTCTAGACAGTTTGGTTTTCGTTTACTGCAAATTCATTATGAGTCAGTAGTGTGGTATTGCTTGAAAATCTAATATAAAATGAGGGTACGTGGACAAGTATAATTCCATTGTTATTTTGAGCTGATTAAAGAGTGCTTAGTTTAGACAGTTATATCTAATTATTATTTCTACTGTCTTTTAAGTAGAATTGTCAATTCAGAATGTTTTGAGAGAAGAGTAATAGGATAAAAATGTTGACATTTTAATTTGGTTATTTTGGTTTTAGCTTTAAAAAGAGAAAGTATATTTGAATGATTTTTTAAATGGTGTGCTCCAGGTTTTAGAGAAATGCAGCTCATAATTATAGAAAACTTAGGAAATGCTTATTAATTTTCATCAAAATAAAACTGGCAAAGTCACTTGTCAGTCTGTGACATAGGCACAAAGCCCCCTCTGCATTGATAATTTAATCTGATCGGTTATCTAGTGGGCGAGCTATTTATTCCTTTTTGTTCTAAGGTGCAGAAATAGAATCTGTAAGTTGAAGTCTGAGGGATACAGATTTTAGTTCTATGTGAGAATTAACTTGCACATATTAAACACAATGTGAAAGTTTGTTTTATGAGGTACTAAAGCATTTATTTATTGCTTACTCTCATACCTCTAGTGGGCCTTTAGGCAGAGTCATTGTTAGAGGCTCACAATAGAAAGTTGAATCTAGAATAAGTAAGTAAAGCACGTTGGGGGGAAAAACTCCCAAATCATGGCTGAGACTGAGTACATATTGAAAAGTTAGGAATGAACCTTGGGAGTTTATGGGGAGTGAGTTGTTAAGGAGAAACTGTATTGGAGAATTGTACAAAGTGATGTGTGTGAAAGTTTAGTATTGATATAAAAAAATTTCTGTAGCTGTAACCTAACACATTGGGGAATGGAAAAAGAATTTAAAATCAGTGGGTTTTGACTTTCAAATTATTATAATTTAAAGAGCTCAAATGTGTTTTCTTAAGACTGGAGAGTTCTTTTTTAAAATTTAAAAAAAAAAAATTTCCCAAATTACATATTAAAATAATTTTTTACTTCTTTTCTTACTGAGTTACAAATTCTGTCCTTCTCTTTCTCATCCCCCTCACAAGATGGTAAACAATCTGATATAGGTTATATACATAGGATCATTTAAAGCATTTCTATATTAGGCTTTTTGTGGAAAAAAAACATGAACAAAAAAGAAAAATAGTACGATTTTAGTCAGTATTAGACAACCTCACTTTCTTCTGTGAAGGTTGACAGCATTTTTCATCATTAGTCCTTTGGGATTATCTTGGTTCATTGTATTGCTGAGAAGAGCTGAGTCATTCATAGCTCTTCATCAAACAATATTGCTGTTACTGTGTACAACATTCTCCTGGTTCTGTTCATTTCACTATGCATCAGTTCATGTAAGTCTAGGTTTTTCTGAAATCATCCTTCTTGTCATTTCTTATAGCACAGTAATATTCCATTACATTCATATACCAAGTCATTTTTCAGTTGATGGCTTCTCTTCAATTTCTAATTCTTCACCACCACAAAAAAAATTTGCTATGAATATTTTTGTACATGTGGGTCCTTTTCCCTTTTTTTTTTAGATCTCTTTGGGATACAGATCTAGCAGAGGTATTGCTGGATCAGAGGGTATGCAGAGTTTTATAGCCCTTTGGGCATAGTTTCTGAAGAGTTCTTAAAAATAATTTTAAAAGAGACTGTTTTGTGACCAGCTGTAGTCAGGGTATAGTGAACAGTGAAGTCTCTGAACAGGTCAACACCTTAAAGTCTGGACCTGCAATCTATGGTAGGAAGAGAACAAACAGCACCAGGCATTGACTTAAGCCCAGATCTTGCCCACCCTGAGTTGGGATAGCCATTGTTAATCTAAAAGACTACTACTGAGTAGCATTTCTTTTTGCTCCCGGACAGGCACTTCAGGAGATCCCATGGACACATCAGACACGACAGTGACACAGTCAGAACTAGGACACCTGCCCACGGAAGCCCAGGAGGGGCAGTCTACTGCTATGCCCATTGTATTGACCCAGCAAGAGCTTGCTGTCCTGGTACAACAGCAACATCAGATGCAGGAGATCCACACCCAGCCACAACAGCAACATCAACACTATGTCCCTACTGAGGCCCTAGCTCCTGCTGATAGTCTCAACGATCTGGCCACTGAGAGCAGTGGCCTTAGTGATGCAGCCAGTGCTGTTACTAGCACAGTAACTCTAATGTCTTCTGCAGCTGTAGAAAGTAAGCATCTGTCCACTGCTCAACTATGTGCCAGGCATTGTGCCAGGTGTTTGAGATCTGATAAGGAGAACAAAAAGATATATTTAAGGATATATGAAATAAATATGTAAAGGAAATGAATACAAGTAGTTGAATATAATGTTTTTGGGAAAGACTTAGAGGTTGGGATCAGGAAAACCTGCTTAAAAGTAGTGCTATCATCTTGACAAGGCACTTTCTGAATGAAGTATCTCAGAAATGTAGTTTCATGCATGAGAAAAAATTGTTATTCCTAATCAGTAAACTCCAGTGACACCCTATTGCTCTCAGGGTGAGGAAGATATAGTAGGATGTAGGTATCTGAGATATTAAGTATGTTAAAAGGACTCATTAGTTAGATACAATATTAATGTATAGAATATAATTTCCTTGGTGTTAATCAATTTGGAATAATGGAAGGAGTACTAGATTTGGAATCAGAAGATTTGTCATAAGTTCACAGATTGATTCTGCCACATATACTTCATGCAAATCCATTTTACTCTGAATTTCAGTGATCTAACATTCTTGTTACTGTGATTTATAGTTAATCTTTAAGCCTTTGGTATGTACTGGCCCTATGATGGTAATCTGTGATTTGAAACAACAAGGTGTTTTACTTGAATTAATAAGGTTTCTCCAATCTCATCTGAGGTCACTGATAGCTGGAGGAAAAAGGAAAAATCAGCACATTGCTTTAATTGGAATTTAGGAGATTTGTTATATACTTCGCTTTTAGAACCCTTCTGTAAGGACACATTCTCCAAGGATAAAACCCAGACCATAGTCAAGTAATTTACAGACTAGTCAGTTAATAATAAATTAGGAAAGTATGATTATACTAAAGTGATATGAAATAAGGGAACCAGAAGCTACGATTGTACTGACCTTCAAGAATAGGTGCCAGAAAAAGCAAGAGTAATAAGGAATGCTGTGCTTCGTATCCCAGATATATGACCTTGGACAGCTTTTCTAAGTTTCCCTTAGCTCTAGTTTCTTAAAATTAGGACTTTGAATCAAATGATTCAAAGATCTGTCGTCATTCCAGAAGTTAATGTTTCTGTGCAGGAAAGGGGGAAATAAGTAAAGCAGATAAATGATGACTAAACATCCTAGTAGAACTTTCCTTTGACATATGTCTTTCACTAGGTCTGGCAACATCCAGTACATTTGTGGCCCCTCCTATAGTGGTAGCCAGCCCAGCCAAACTTCAGGCTGCAACTGCCTTGACTGAGGTAGCCAATGGTATCGAGTCAGTATTGGTGAGTTGGAAATGATAGAAATAGTGGTGATATGGACCCTTTGGGCACTAAAAGTTGGTTATGTTGCTTATGTTCACAACAGTTGCTATTATTAATATATCCTTTTCTCTAGAAGCCTGAACTACCACCCCCATCCATCAAAGCACCAGTGAAAAAGGAAAACCAGTGGTTTGATGTGGGTGTCATCAAAGGCACCAACATGATGGTTACTCATTATTTCCTGCCACCTGATGATGTTTCAGTCATGGATGTAAGTCCCCTAAGAAGACTTGGAAATTTTTAAACTGTAGTAGACAGGTTGAAATAACTACACAGACATCTAATTTTAAGGCCACATTTAACTGTGGCTTTGATGTCACAGCTAAGTAGTTGATTGGCAGAGAAAATTGTTTAGTTATTTTTCTGGGAGGAGTCCTTGAAAAAACTGGAAATATTCAGCCCTTTTCATTTATCTACTTTTGCCATAATCCTTGGGCCAAACTAAAAAATTTCCCCACTTAATGGTACAATATTCACCTTTAGGTTATTTGTAACGTATAAGGAATATGTTGGAAATAACTTGTAGTCCTTGAGCTAGGGTGGTTTGTAGCTTTGGTTAGATATGGGAAATTTGCAAGGAACCTAAGATTCTAAATATGATTAGAATATTCCTGAAGGCTAATTGTTGAAGGAACAAAAGACCTTATAAAAGATTGTAGGAATAAAGACTCTACTAATCACCTATATGTATATACCTTGGAATTATGAGGATAAAAAATGTGGTAATATGACAAAGGAAACTGGTTTGGATAGCATGAATTTTATCACAGTTAAATACTGGAACAGGAAGCCAAGAAGGAACAAATTAATCAATACTTCAGTGAGTCTGGCAAGTTTACCCAACCAGAATGCTTCTTTGTGTTCTGGTAGCCAATGAGAGATTTTTAAATCTTAAAAATGATTTGTAATTGATTACTGGTGCATTCATCTGACAGATGAGGTTTTATTTTACTTACTTCTCTTTTCTTGTTCTCCATTTTCTAGTATGATTCCAGCGTTACCCCTGACTATAGCCACCTGAAAAAGCAGGAGTTACAGCCAGGCACAGCCTATAAGTTTCGAGTAGCAGGGGTCAATGCCTGTGGCCAAGGACCTTTCAGTGAGATCTCAGCCTTCAAAACGTGTCTTCCTGGTTTCCCTGGGGCCCCCTGTGCCATTAAAATCAGTAAAGTGAGTATTATACTTTTCTTTTCTTCATAATTTGGTCATATACATATACATTGGTATAAGAATGTATAGTTCTTAAAGGTATCATGGGAAGTAGATTTAATTCCTGCTATTGGTGCCCACAGTCTTTAGGGCAAAACACTCTTCTCTGAGTTACAGAAGTTTCTAAGATAACAAGTGACAAAGGGAGCACAGTGACAAAGGGAGAAGTCAACAACTTGATGTCACTGTAATTGTGAGTAGTAGAGCAAGGATGATTAATCTGGTTTATCAGTGAGTAAACAAACAACGTAGCATTGGGTAAAGGGGTTAACATGGAGGAGGGGACAAATTTCCATTTCAGTCAGGCAGGAGATAAGGTTTCTCTGCAAGGAGGAATTATGGTATGATGAAAGACATTCTAAACTAAGTTTGAATCTCAGCACTTTCAGCTGAACTATCTCTGTTCCATAAATATAGGTGGAAGGTGACTATTCTATAATTTGGATGTTCTTCAAATAATAGAGATCACTGATTGTTCATACTTCAGCACTAAAGTCTTCTGAACTGAAATTTTCTAACCATGTCCTTTTCCCACCATTTCCATTGCCTGTAGAACCCAGAAGGTGCTCATCTTACCTGGGAACCACCTTCAGTTATTTCAGGCAGAATCACTGAATACTCTGTATACCTTGCCATTCAAAGCTCCCAGTTAAGTGAGCAGAAGAGCTCAGCCCCAGCTCAGCTAGCTTTCATGCGTGTTTACTATGGGCCTAATCCATCCTGCTTAGTGAAGTCTTCCAGTCTTTCCAATGCTCACATTGACTATACCACCAAGCCTGCTATCATCTTCAGAATTGCTGCCAGAAATGAGAAGGGCTATGGCCCTGCAACCCAAGTCAGGTGGTTACAAGGTGAGTGCAATCTCCTTGTCACTCTGAAGCACTTAGATAGATGTTACAAATAAGGAATTTATCAAATAAGTTTCCCTTGTGAAAGAAGTAATGGTGCAGTAGAAAGATAAGTGAATTTAGATTCAGAATATCTAAGTTTAGATGCCAACTCTTAATCATTTAATTTCTGGGTTTCATTTTTCTCAGCTATAAAATTAAGGGATTTACCTAGATAGTTCCTGACAGACCAACTCTTCATTATTCTAAATGAGTAACAAATTTCCCATTAGTCAGCCATTCCTTTATGATCCTATGTAGTCTTTTTTACAAAATCCTATTCTGAGAGCTATGGAAAGATTGGTGGAGGGGGACACATAAGTTCTCTTTCACCTTAGGTCAGAAATAAAAGATTAGCAGGAGACATAAAGGGAGAATGCAAAAGATAGGAAAGGAGTCAGTGATTCTCACAAAATGACATTTGGTTACTTAGATACACAGATCTCATTTGATCCCTGACCTGAACTCTGAAGGGCTATTCAGAGTGAGAGGCTACAACAAAAACTATCCTTTGGACTGGTGAAGGAAGATAAAATACACACTTAGAAAATTATAGTGAAAAAATAGGTTGAAATTAAGATTTTACGTATTTAGGCATCTAAGTAGTAGTGTTTGAATGTGGGTATTATTTGAGTCATTCCGTCTTTGAGACTTGTGGTTCAAATTTTTATTCCATCTCACTCATTGATCTTTTCATAATTCTTCTCTGTTTTCCATTTTTTATTACAGAATCTAATAAATATAGCTCTAATGCAAAGCCTGCCAACAAGCGGCCATTGTTCTCCCCTGAAATGTAAGCACAGATCCTTCAACTGAATCTCATGGGGGTAGGGAAAGCCAGAACAAAACTATGTAGGGGAGGAGGGGGAGGAGTGTAAGGTGTTTTAGTGACTTGATTTTGAATTGTATTATCCTGAACCCTGTGTAGAAAGGATCATAAACATTGCCCCCAGCCCTTGAAATGCTAATATAACTGTCACATTCCTACACTAATTCTTCCCACTCAAGGAAATCAGCTCCAAAGAAATTCAAGGCTGATGGTCAGTAAAAGAAAGCTGAATAAGTTCCTTCTTATGCAGGACGCTCCACCCTTACTTTCATCCTCAACTCTACTTCTGAGGCACTACTTACCACCCTTCAACTGTATCGTGTGAACTGCTAGACAGTAATTCTTTTGTCATTTTTTTTTGTTGGGGATTGGTGAGTGAGGTGATTTGGAAGAAAACTAATGTTACCATTAACTTAAGAATGGGAAAATGGGCAAACTTACAAACTTGTAATTTATGCCTACACTATAGCTTTTCTCAGACCTGTGAATTCAGATCATTTTAGCTAAGGATCAAGCCTCATGGGTAAAAGTCATGGTGATGGGAAAAAGACATTCTGTTACCTCCATCTGTCCTTCGGACCCATATATGTTCAGCTACTCCATGGGAAGACAGTTTTTCTTCTTCTGCATTCAAAGAGAGGGTATATAAATACTTAAAAAGAAAAGGCTGGCAGTAAAATGGAGATGTTTATCCCCACATTCCTCATTCCTGTGGATAATGTTCTGTCTTTCTAATGTAATGATCTGTGAATTTTCTTGCATTAATCAGTTTGTTGAGTCACTACTTTTTTTTTGTCTTTGAGCATTTCTTTAAATTTGTTTGCTCTTATCTCCTCATTAGCAACTCTGCAGAAGAGTATCATTCAGAGCCCTCTTACCCCAAATTCATATATCCCTTGTTACATGAATATTACTATCTGTGGAGATGACCACAGGTTGGAGGCCTTTTGTGGGCAAATTTTCATCAAGAAAGGTGGAAAGCCCCTGCCTTGAGCTGCTTCCTCACCCCCTCACCTGTTAAAACCCTGTGTGGGGTCATAGAGAAGAGGTAATGTTATAAACTAAAAAAGTTGAAGTTGATAGAACAATGTCAGTGTTTTTATTATGCTCTTTAAAGTATGTGAGATATTTCATTTTTATTTTTTGCCAGCCATGTACAGAATGAGTGTATGTGTATCTGTGTATATAATGATATTTTTTTCCTAGTTAGTGTCAGATGTGGGAACATTAAAGGAAGAAAGCTGGGGGGTAATTGGGAACTAGAGTGAGAAAATGACTGCCCACTGCCTGCAGAAGGAGATTCGTTGGCATTATTAAGAAAGTTGTTTTGTTTTGGAGGGGAAGCTATCTACTCTGGTACTATTGGCATTTTTATTTTTAGTTTTAGTTTTAGTTTTAGTTTTCTCTCTTGATTTACCTTTTTTGGGTAATCAAGACAAAACAAAATTTTGAGTCATCAAATCTTATACTGTTCCCAATAGAATTTGAGAGAAGAGATGCCTTATTCTATGTGGCCTCAATCTACAAGGATCAAATCTAGATAGAAAATATATTATCTTTTTTTATAACAATATGTGGGGAAGATGGAAAATAAAAGGACAAATTCAAACTTTGTTGAGCAAATATCACACAAACATTAAAAGCTGAAAACTAGGTCTTAGTTTGAAAAATATTGAAGTTTATGAATATCTCTACACCAGTGTAAGGGAAACAAAGATGGTTGTGATAAGGAAGAAGTGTACCCACGTAGGCCACCTGAAATTAGAAAATTCTATAAATTTATAATTTTTTTTTCCATCTTAGTCTGTCGGTATTCTCAGAGAGAAGAGTCACTGAGTGGGACTAAACAATATAAAAAAGTAGGGTTGTAAGAGGAACATCCTTTTCCTCATATCTTATTTTTAAAATTGTCATTGCTGTACAAATTCCATTTCTCAAATTTAGCTTTGGAAGCCCATGCAGAATTTTGCCTTTGTTTCTAGTACAATGGGAAAATATAGTTACTCTCTTCTTGCGTTCTTTTCCACAAGTCTACCTCACCACCATTTTTCCTCCACAAACCCTACAAGAGCTTTAGAGTTTCTGTTCTTTTGTATTATAGTTATTTCAGTGTGAAATATTTTACTGTTTAATCATTTGTATTTCTACTTGCCCAATACATGTTTTCCTTTGGTCTTCTTTATTCTCCATTTTTTGAGGGAAAACAGCCAACTTTATAATGCAGAAGAAAGATCCCCTGGTAACTCAGTATTAGCATTGTGCTATGTTGTTTTTGTGCTATTTTGAACAATTAAAATGACTTTTTTTAAAATAACCATCAGTGTCTTTTACTTTTTGCCTCTTCCATAACTTTTCCTGGCCCACCCTTAGTTTAGAACAACTCTATAATTACTTCCAAAGTACTATCTTTTGGGAAATTTGTTTTTCTTTTCACTATCTAAAGATACTACCCTCCAAATGTCTCCTAAATACTGATTTTAGTATGCTTTTTGGGAATTTGAAGATAGGCTTTCACTCAGCATTTATATGGAATTAAGGGACCAATAAATATTCTAGTTTCTTATCCACCTCAAACTCCCTTGTGACCCTAATGAAATTGCAGCATTTTTCTTTGTACATTAAGTTCAACAAGTTGCCTAGGTTTTGCCCTTTTTACTTGTAAGTAACCTTGGACAGAATAATATACCTGGTTTTTCAACTTATACAAGGATAACTCAATTGACTTTTTATTTGCTATGGACCCAACTCATATTTAATGCAAAATACAGTATTCGACTCTCAACTGAGGCTTTCATTTGACTCCATTGTGATACACTGACTATAGAGCATACCATGATTTTTCTGATCATTGCACCACATTATAAAGGGACACAAATCACTGTGGCTCTGTCATTAAGCCACTCAATGCATTTTATGTAGGTGAAGGGTATGTAAGTCTGTTCATTAAAATTTTGGAGGTAATGTGGTAGAACATAAAAAGCTACTCAGATTCAAGATCCAGATACTAGCATTGCTTGCTTACCACCTATTTCACCTGGGACAAATCAACAAAATGAGGGTTGGTTGGATTTCTGATGTCCTTTCCAATTCTATAATTTGTAAGAGCAAAAGAGATTTTGCCACTGAGTTAAGCCATTTTCTATAATCTGTATTTCCTCAGTATATCTTATGAAAAATTATTAAAGGATGTCACATTAATTCAATATCCTCATTTCAGAAAGCTAATCTACAAAATTATTTATGTAGTGATCCATTTGTTTAATTCAGTTACTTTTGAATAAATTGGGACAACAGAGCACAGGGTACTGGGCTTGAAGTCTACAGGGTTAAGGCTATCAAATCTTCTATTTGAACTTACCCAGTTCAAATCTGACCTCAGACACTTACTGGTTGGGTGTGGGTGAGTTGATTAACTGTTTACCCCATTTTCCTCATCCGCAAAAATAAACTTAAGGACATGAAAAACCGCACCACTATTATTTGGGGGAGGGGTGTGAAGCATTTGGGGTTAAGTGACTTGCCCAGAGTCACACAGCTAGTGTCAAGTGTCAAGAGTTTTGTTTGGAACTCATGTCCTCCTGCCTCCAAGGCCGGTGCTCGATTTATGCACCATACCACCAAGCTGCCCCTCACGTCATTATTTTCAACAACAACAAAAAAAAGTTATCACCAAGAGTCAGGGGCGATTGAACAATTAAAAATAACTGAACCCAAATAAATGTTTAAATCCTGAAAATGAATAAAATTTTAAAAGGAGGCAGCAATTAGAAAAAGCACTGTCTGGGGTCAAGACAACTTCAGTTTCTTTGCCAAGAAAATCAAAATGGTCATAAAGAGTCAGATGTTACTAAAACAACTAAGGCCAGATTTGAACTCTGGGAGATGAGTCCAGGCCTGGGACTATATCACCTTGCTATTTACTATACCACCATCAGACAACTCAAATAAAGTCCTATCAGCTTTTACCTAAAACAGCAAGTTTCGTTAATCACAGCTTAGGAAAAAATTTTCCAGTGATGGGGTATGTGCCCATCATTCAGTTTTAGAAGCAGAGATCTTTGCCCCTTTTCACCAAAAAGAATTTGGCTTCCATTTGTCTACAGCCCCAGAAAACCCTTAAACTTTTTTTACTCTGGTCTCTGGTTCCTTACCAACTCCCTTCATCTCCCTAGCCCTACCTTTTGATCTTATGCAGATACCTTTCAAACTTCTTCCATCCAGTTCCCTTTATCATCTATTCCCATTGTCTGTTCAATCTCTCAGACCTTCAATCTCAGGACCCTTTTCCCAGCCCCCTCCGCTGGCCACCCAGAGTTACTTTAGTCTATATGAGATCCACCCTGGCCCCCATTCAGAAGCTGAGCTTCTCTCATGCCCGCTTGTCCCTGTGGGTGTTACTAATGTTCAGATTCCTTAAGGGTCTGGCCTATATGATTTATCTCTTAAACTTTTTCTCTGGCTGGAAGATTTGAGTTGAATTCATTCAGGCAGGGCCCAGTCATGATCTTGGGGTTCCAGCACCCTTAAATCTCTAGACCTCTTCACCAGGATTTCCATCTCAAACTTAAATTTGTCCTGGTGTAAAAAACCAATTATTGGAGATTTCTATACACTTGGAAATTCTCAGCAGGCCATATATAACCCAAAACAAGCTTTTCATGTTAGTTGTGGAAAAAACCACAACATTTTTTTAATGCTTCAATCTGCATTCTGACTATCAGTTCTTCAATGGTCTTAGATCATTTCTGCAAATAACTAAGTCATTCATAGTAAATCATCATACAATATTGCTATTCCTATATACAATGTTCACTTTGCATCAGTTCATGTAAGTCTTTTCAGAAGAAATCTTTTATTTTAAAGAGGTGATCACAGGATCCAAGATGGCAGAGTAAGAGGTGAGTCACTCTTAACCCTCTCTTATCGACCTCTGAAAGCCCAGAAAATATCACCCCAGGAAAAACCCTGGAGCAGCTGAACCAGAAGAAAGATGGGGTGCAGCAGTGCAGTAGCCCAGGTAGCTAGAGGGATTAATGGGAAAGGCCCTTCTTAACCTGGGGGATGGGGAGCAGTACAGAACAGGAGGCGTCCCTACAAGCTAGTGGAAAGCCCTACACCTCAGCATACCAGGAGGAGATCCTGAAACCCAGGTGGTGGAGTAGACAAACACCAACAATTAGACCCCACAGTGCCTCATTGAGGGCAGGGGAACTGGTGGAAACCAGCTCAGAAAATCACCAGGTGCCTCAGCATTCTACAGCAGCCACCTCTCCCAATGCCTCAGCAAAACTAAGGGAAGCAGCACTCCAAGGGGCCCATGGCAGATAAAAACCCTACAACATCCATCTGAAAGGAGCTGAAGAAACAAAAGGAAGGAAAGGCCTGCGTGAGGAGGAAATCTCCAGGCACCAGACTACCCAATCCCACCCCTAGAGTTCCAGTGTTGCTGATTCTAGCCCACCGCCAGCTAAGCTGCCAGAACCCTACAGCCTCCAACTGCCAACATTGAAGGCCCCAGCACACAAAGCCAGCGACCAGGCCCTGGGCTCCCAATACAAGAAGCTCCCCAACAGGAGAGCCCAATGTCTTTGAAGGCCAGGAAGTAAGCCAACACCATGAGCAAAAAGAAATGTACCATATATTATTATTATGGGAAGAGAGAAGATCAAGGCAGAAATTCTGAAGAGGACAACATTGTCATCAAACCTACATCTGCAACTTCAAAAGGGAATATGAGCTGGTCTGAAACCCAAAAAGTCTCCTTAGAAGAGGTCAAGAAGGATTTTAAAAGTCAAATGAGAGGTAGAACAGTCCTTAAAAAATTCAATTGGCCAACTGGAAAAAAAGTACACTGAAGAAAACAAGTCCCTATAAAATACAATTGGCCAACTGAGAAAGGAGGTACAAAATCTAATAGAAGAAAACATTTTGTTAAAAATTAGAATTAGGCAAATGGAAGCTAACGACTCTATGAGAGAGCAAGAATCAGTCACATAGAAACCAAAGAATGAAAAAATAAATGAAACTTGAAATACCTCATTGGTAAAACAATTGACCTGCAAAATCGATCCGGGAGACACAATTTAAAAATTACTGGTCAACCTGAAAATCATGATTGAAAAAAAGAGCCTGGACAGTATCTTTCTGAAAATCATGAAGGAAAACTGGCCTGAGATCCTAGAACCAAAGGGTAAAATCGCCATAGAAAAAATCCACCTATCACCTCCTGAAAGAGATCCCAAATTGAAAATGCCAAGAAATATAGTAGCCAAATTCCAAAATTAACAGGTCAAAGAGAAATTACTGCAAGCATCCAGAAAGAAACAATTTAAATATCATGGAACCACAGTCAGGATTACACAGGACCTTGCAGCTTCTACATTAAAAGACTGTAGGGTGTTGAACATGATATTCTACAAGGCAAAGGAGCTTGGATTGCAACCAAGGATCAACTACCCAGTGAAAATGAGCATGATCTTTCAGGGGAGGGGATGGATATTCAATGAAATAGGGAACTTCCATACCTTCCTGATAAAAAGACCAGAGTTCAACAGAAAATTTGATCTTCAAGTACAACACTCAAGAGAGACATAAAAAGTTAAATGGGACAGAAAGATACAATATATTGTCAATTAGAGCAAACTGTTTACATAACTTTGATGTAATGATAAAAATAAAATTCTAATCAAGTGGGTTAAATGGATCCAAGTAAGTGAATTGATCTGATCTAAGAAAATGTACTGAAAGAAAAGGAGAGGTGGCAGACAAGGGTAAATTACATTACAGGAAAAGGCACAAAACCTATTACAGAAGAGGGAAAGAAGGGAGGTAGATGACCATTGTTTGAACCTTACTCTCACCAGATTTGGCTCAAGAAGGGAATAACAATCAGTTAGACATAGAAATCTAACTTGCACTATATGCAGAAGGAAAAAAGGGAAAGAAAAGGGAGGGGTGGTTAATAGAAGGGAAGTGGGACTGAGGGAAGCTGTGGTCAAAAGCAAAACACTAGTGAGGAGGGAAAAGGAGAAAGAAAGAAAAGCATAAACGAGGGGGGAAGGATGGAGAGAAAGACACAGTAATCATAACTGTAAGTGTGAATGGGATGGACTACAATATGTTGCATATATTATGCTTCAGCTCAAGTATAAAAAGCAGGGGTAGCAATCTTAATCTCAGATAAAGCAAAAGCAAAAATAGATCTTATCAAAAGAGATAAGGAAGAAAACTACATCCTGCTAAAAGGCACCATAGACAATGAAGTAATATTATTACTAAACATATATGCACCAAACGGTATAGCATCTAAATTCTTAGAAGAGAAGTTCAGGGAGTTACAGTAAGTATTAGACAGCAAAACTATACGAGTGGGGGACCTCAACTGAACCAGATTAACCTAACCACAAAATAAAGAAGAAAGAAGTTAAGGACGTGAATATAACATTAGAAAAGTTAGGTATGATAGACCTTTGGAGAAAATTGAATGGGTATAGAAAGGAATATACTTTTTTCTCGGCAGTACATGGCACGTACACAAAAATTGACCATGTGTTAGGACATAAAAACCAATGCAGAAAGAAAGAAATATCAAATGCATCCTTTTCAGATCATGATGCAATAAAAATTATACATAATACAGGGCCATGGATAGACTAAAAATAAATTGGAAACTAAATAATCTAATCCTAAAGAATGTGTGGGTCAAACAAAAAATCATAGAAACAATCAGGGGCAGCTAGATGGCGCAGTGGATACAGCACTGGCCCTAGAGTCAGGAGGACCTGAATTCAAATCCAGCCTCAGATAAATAATACTTCCTAGCTGTGTGACTCTGGGCTAGTCACTTAACCCCAATTGCCTCACTTTAAAAAAAAAAAGGTATTTGCTGAGTTCAAATCCAGCCTCAGATACATAACACTAGCTGTGTGACTCTGGGTGAGTCACTTAACCCCACTGCCTAGGCAAAAAAAAAAAAACCAGTAACTTCATTCAAGAGAATGACAATAATGAGACAACACACTAAAACTTATGGGATTCAGCAAAAACAGTTCTTACGGGAAGTTTTATATCTCTAAATGCTTACATGAATAAAACAGAAAAAGAAGAGATCAATGAATTGGGCATATAATTAAAAAACTAGAAAAAGAACAAATTAAAAATCCTCAAACACCAAATTAGAATATTGAAAACCAAAGGAGAAATTAATAAAATTGAAATTCAGAAAACTATTGAACTAATAAATAAACTAAGAGCTGGTTTTGTGAAAAAACCAATAAAATAGACAAACCTTTGGTTAATTTAATTAAAAAAAAAAAAACCAAATTACCAATATCAAGAATGAAAATAGTGAATCCACCACCAAGAGGAAATTAAAACAATAATTAGGAACTATTTTGCCCAACTGTATGCCAATAAATTTGACCATCTTAGTGAAATGGAGAAATATTTACAAAAATATAAATTGCCCAACTTAACAGAAGAAGTGAAATATTAAATATTAAATAACCCCATCTCAGAAAAAGAAATTGAACAAGCCATTGATGAACTTTGATGAAGCAAGAAACTTGTTCCTCACTTTCTCCAAGCAAGAGCCAAATGTCCAGGGCAGTTAGATGGTGCAGTGGATAGAGTCCTGAGTCAGGCAGACCCGAGTTCAAATCTGGCCTCAGACACGTAACACTCAGTGCATGACTCTGGGCAAGTCACTTAACCCTAATTGCTTCACCTTGCCTTTCAAGGCTCACCTCAGGAATAATCCAATTATCTGAAATCATTCTTGATGTACCTTGTTAAATATTCTCCCTTTCTTTAAATTACACTCCATGTTTACTCTCCAAAGACTAAGGTCCCTGAAAGCAGGAATAGCTCATCTTTGTATTGCTAGCACTTGGCACATAAATGCTTAAGCAGCCGAAATTTCCGGATTATCTGATCCTAATCACTAAGGTTCTTCTTTCCTCCCCAAACACCATTTTTAATTGCCTCCCACTCAGTCACAAAAAAAAACCAACCCCCCCAACACAAACACAGCTAAGCAGAAACTCAGATTTATTTGTAGCTTAATATCTGGGGATAAGCAAGGATATCAGCTTAAATAATACATAAGATCCTTCCCCTTTATGATGAGTAGAATGCACTCCACTTGTCCAGTGGACCACAGCTGGGGATATACTTGACCCCACAGCCATCAGGAATAAGACGTTTCTCAGCTACCATGTCCTCAAATACATCTGCGTTAAACTTTGTGAAGCCCCACTTCTTTGAGATGTGGATCTGCAAGAAACGTAATAAAGGATATAATAGGGGTAAACTAGATCTGTCTATATCCCTATAAGATTTCACTTTATTTCCTAGGTATTTTTCCAGGTCTCTGATGATATCAAAGTAAAGAATGGAAAAATTTATGTCACTGGGTTGTTACTAAGATCAAAATGAGATAACATATGTACAACATACTTAAAGCATTATTTATATAAATGCTTCACCCACAGAGCAATTATATACACATTTTTAATTGGTCCATAATCACTAATATCAGAAGAATACCCCTTCCTGAAATGAATACAAACCCTAAATATTTAGGAGATGAAAAGACAAATAGGTCTTTCATCAAATGAGTATCTCTTACCTTCTGGCGACCAGGGAACTTAAATTTGGCCCTGCGCAAAGCCTCAATCACATGTTCCTTGTTCTGGATTTTGGTGCGAATAGACATGATCACCTGTCCTATATGAACACGAGCAACAGTACCCTGAGGTTTCCCAAAGGCACCCCGCATGCCTGTTTGCAGCCTGGAGAAAGAAAAGACGATTGTGAAAATGGCATTTGTGACACTTAAACCTCCTCTGAATCATTTTTAAACATCTGATTTGTTATGGAGAGAAAATTTCCAGCCCTCAAACATAAAACACAAGAACGATATGATCAGAAACAAATTTAAACTATTTTCAGAAATCTGAGAGTGGATTTATTGGATACAATCTGACTACTGCCAAGGCTTAAAAAAAAATGTATATACACACACATTTTTCGTAAAACAAAAATCAAAAAAATTATGTCCTTGAGGCGCATTTCAAAGAAAACATTTCAAACATATAGTTATGAACAATTTACGGATAATCATCCAAACATCGGCCAATGCCAATTTTCAATTTCCAAGTAGTCTTTTAAAGCATTAAGTTTTCCTACAGCTACATTTACATATGTGAGTACACTCATTTTCTTTCAGGTTTACAAGAATTAACCAATGGAGTTACCTTGGCCATCTTTATGAAGGTTGGGAAATCCAATGAAAATGATCTTTAAGCTTTGTCCAGGTTGTTTGCTTCTGCAAACATTTGACTTGTGTGGCAGAAATACAACTTGAGGATTCAGAATAAAACTTAGTTTGTACTTATTTTTAAAGATTTGGGTATGAATTTTCACTTCCTCCTTGCCCCATCAGCTACTTTGCTACCCTACTCATATGTGACAAAAGGAAAAGTACTAACAACCTGATAGTCATCTTTATTGGATAAGGCAGCATTAAACACTATTATTTAAGTAGCCATTTTGGGTAAATAGATGGTTACAAAGCATTTAGAAACTTACTTACAACAACCAAATGGAATATAGATATCTACTTTTGAGTCAAAGAAACTTTATTACCTATCAGCACCAGCACAAGACAACATTTTGTTGATTCGAATAACATGGAAAGGGTGCAGTCGAACACGGATGTGGAAACCATCTTTGCCACAACTCTTCACCATGTATTTGTTGGCACAGATCCGTGCAGCCTCCAAGGCTATAGAGAAAGAAAAGTATTGGCACAACTGAATTGTAAATTTAGAGTTTTGCCAATGATAGTTAGGTTTTTGTACCACTACAAGCATTTTAGTGTTGTAGAAGTCAATAAAATATGAATATGACGTATTATGTTGCAGACATTTTTAAAAAATGAGAGTAAGTTCTATCTTTAATGTAACTCTGAAGTTGTCCTTTTCTCTGCTGTTACACAAAGTAGAGGATTTCAGAAACACTGATCGATGGCCAGATCTCCACAAAAGCATTTATCTAGTAGTTTGGTTTTTTTTTTACCTTCAGAGGACAGTTGTTCGTATTCATCAGACACCATATGAGCACAGAGTGGGAATTCATCCACTTTTGCCTTTTTTCGACCTAGGTCAAAAATCCGTATCTTGCCATCTGTGAAAAGGTAAAGGAAGTTTTCAGTTTAAATTTGGTCTTATTTAAGTACAGTTTGACATGAGATGGGAAAATATTTTAACATTTTCCAAAGTACAATTCAGAGATATGTTAAATTTTAGAAGTGTTTAATGGACTTTGAAGTATCAGTTAAATAAAAAAAATTTTTTATGTTGAGTAATACCACCTATCTTAAATTTCAAGTATTAGGCTTTAGATCCTTACCTTCCAAATAGTACTTACCAGGAACGCCTCGGCAGAAACGTGATTTTGGATATGGTTTGTTCTTACAATATCTATAGCTTAGAGGAAGAAGATATAATAAGGAATTAATTGTAAATTAGTATAGATTATATGAAATGAATGTGAGAAAAAGAGAGCTGGAAAATTTTACTTTTGTTTTACTTTTAGGTTTTAAGAAAATAAAGTTATTTGAAATTTGTAATTGGAATTGCTTAGTGGAATGGTACTTAGCACAATACTGCACCACATAGATAAAACATGCTAAGTAGCTTGTGCTAAGTAAAGGCATAAACAAAAAAATTATATTAAATCATACTTTCAAGGATTTCACAATTGTATTATACGTAAATTGTTATGTACAAATGTGTTTTTTAGAAAATAGGAAGTCATTTTAGAACCACAGAGGTTTGTAATTACTGACGTTAACTTTTAAATTATTTCCAGTTGTTTTTGATATTTTGCAAGAAAATCTATTTGGGTTTTTTATTGGATTGAGTTGTCATTTTTTTTTTGTAGTTCACTTTACAAAGAAAATTGAGGTAAAAAGGTTTAGGTTATTTTTAGGATATTTTGGCTTGTGGATGTATGAGCCTGGATTGGCAATTTGGTTTGTTTTAAAGATTATTTTGTGTGATATAGTTGCTTTACTGTAAGCAGTCTTTTAAAAAAAATTGTGTATTAGTTCTTATGGTTTATGAGAGATTATAATTTAAATGGTGTTTGGGGATGAAATGTAAAGTAAATTTTCTTTAAGGATGGGGTTTTAAAGTGTTTTACTGTAGTTTTATGTAATAATTATGTTAAATAATTGAATAGGAAACTGCCTTTCTTTCCTCTGCTTCCAGGCCCCTTCAAACTAGAAGCTGAACATGTTCTCCTTTTTTTACTGTTCTATTTATGAAAGACAAATCCTATGATTAAAGACTTGGGAAAAAGCTTTCCCTGCCCTCTTCCCTGGGCCTTAAGGAAAGGGAACTGGATTTAAATATGGAAATGTCCTCTTGCCTCAGAACCTGATTGGCAGTAGGAACTGAGGCCTGTGGAATACAACACAATTAAAGTAGGCTGAGGCAAGAGATTTAGTCTCGTATTCCAAAACTATACCCCAAATCAAAGTGACAGGAAGAATGGAAAACAAATATGAAATCAAGTCCAAGGAATGAAAACTTACTAAAAAACATTTTACTTCCTCTTTATTTCCGTGAGGTAAATTAAAATTTTCCACACAAAATTAAATCGATAAAATACAAATTCAAATAGTAACTAGCCTTTACGCAGCATAAAAATAAACTGTCATACAAAAAATTAAAACTGTTTTCCACTAGTTTCTCATAAAAAAATTCATCAAAAACAAAGACTACTTACCAACGAGCCGGGCGGCGCCCCATAGTCAACGCAGACAAAGAAAGTTCAACGCCTGCGCAGTCCTTAAATAGTCTCGCGTTTTGGCGCGTTTTCAAAGAGGCGGAACTGAACTAGCCCCAGAAAAAAAAAGGGTGCATAATAAATACCAAAAATACCATATATTAAATATCAAAATACGAAAAATCAAACCCCGACTTGGAAAAAACAATACAAAAGCCATTATCAAAAAAACACAACCCAATACAAAACTAATGAGATGAACAAAAATAAAACCGGTACCCTTTAACAATACAAATCAAGCTTCTTGCAGAAAAATCAATGCATAAAAAACCAAAAAAAAATATGAAATACTCAACATTTTAAAACATTAAAAGAGTCAATATCAAGCATATAAATAAAAATAACATCACTTAAACCAAAATACAAACTAAAGAAAACCTAAAATACAAAAATTACTAAAACATAGACACAATAAAAAATTTGAAACTTACAAAATAATGCTATTTAAAAAATAAGCTAAATATTTTTAAAAACAAGCTACCATTGTTGTCTCCCCCTAAAATTAAAAAAATGCCCATAACAAATAAACATAGGTAAACAAAACAAAATGACATTCCAAACACGAAATAAATCTTAGTAAAAAAAAAATTTTACTTCCTCTTTATTTCCATGAGGTAAATGAAAATTCTTCACACAAAATTAAATCAACAAAATACAAATTGAAATAGTAACTACCACTTAGACAGCATAAAAATAAATTGTGATACAAAAATTGTTTTCTATTTTTTTTTATAAAAAAACACACCAAAACCAGAGACTACTTACCAATGAGCAGGGCAGGGGCCCATAATCGACACACTCACCACTCTTTAATCAACTGTCCCCTTTATACATCCTCAGAACATCATCTTTCGTAAGATAATTAGCAATATACAAAATTAAATATCTAAAATTTAAATCTAAATACATTAAGAAAATAAAAAAGTATGTAATAGTTAATAGATTCATATTTTTTGCATTATTATTTTTACATATTTTCCTTGCTCAATTCCTTTTTCACTACATCACTTCATATATACCTTCCTAGGTTAATTTGACACACTAAAAAAAAACACAATCTAATATAATAAAAAACATTCTAAAATATATAAAATCCCTCTATTACAGACATTTGTGACCAAGCAAAACAAATTTTCTCATTGGCCAAGTTTAAAAAAAAAAGGTCTCAGCCCTTGTTTGTACATAGTTGTTCATCTGTATTTTCCATTATAATGTCTGTGAATCCCCAAAGGGCAGGAACTTTTTTTACCTTTCTTTGTATCCCAAGCACCTAATAGCTGTTTAATAAATATTTACTTGACTTCTATTTAGAGTTCTTCACAAACTAGCCTCAACTTATCTCTCTGGCCTCATTGTACATTTACTACCTTGTCCACACTCTAATGATCCAGTCAAACTGCCCTTCTCTCTATTTTTCACACGTTATTCCCATCTCTTTGTCTTTTCACTGGTCATTTCCCATGCTAGGAATTAACTTTTTTCACTTCAATCTCACAGTGTCATTCTCTTCTTTCAAGCCTTAGCTCAAGGACTGCCCCTTATGGAAAGCCTTACTTGAGATCCTGCATACTGCTGGAGATATGAATACGCCAGGCCCTGTGCTAAACAAGTGATTTAAAATGATCTTATTTGACCCTCACAAACCGCTGGGCTGGAAGTACTATTTTTATCTCTATTTTTCATGCTTTAGTGATTTTTTTCAGTGGTGTCCAACTCTTTGTGACTCCCTTTTCTTTACAAAGTCAAGTGACCTCCCCAGGGTCACACTGCAAGTAACTATCTGAGGCCAGATTAGAACTCAGAAAGAGGAGTCTTTTTTCACTCCAGGTCTGGCCCTTTATCCACTGCTCTTAACCATGCAACTAGTAAATGTCTTTTTCACAGCTTATGCTTAATAAATGTTTGTTAATTAGATGACTAGCTGATATGCTGATTGGTTTTAAAGAATTGTTATTTTTCCTTGATTTTAAAAAATTCTTTGTAATAAGGAAGGGAGAGACATGAAAGTAAAGATGTCGATAAAATTTTTCTTTAAAAACAACAGTTGATTTTCATTTATTCTTTCATTGGAATTTGAAAAAAAAACACCCCATAAATGTAACAGGAAAAGTCTAACAACTTTATACCACCAACCTGACCTTGTGCCTTTGTTATTTATTTCAAGAGGGTTGTAAGAGAGACAATTTAAATAGTCTTTTCAGAAGACAAAGCAAAGCAAAGCAAAGCAAAATCATCTGCTACAGGACAGTGAAGCTTTGAAATAACAAATAACAAAACCTTAGCACAACTAGCTTGTAATGTTAAACTAACTTGTGGTCTGAATGATAATACGCAAAAATATTCTGAGAAAAGGATCCCTCTGTTAAATGTGCTTATAAGGCAATCGCTATGAACCTTATGACAAAAATGAACAGACAAGAATGGAGCAGTAAAAATGCCACCTTTGATTTTTCATTTTGGCTAGTTAATAAGACTAAATTAGGGGAATGAAAAAGTTATCTGGACTAAGAAAAATAAATCCTGTTATGATGAAAACCCTTATTCAGGGTTAACTTGGCAAAGTTCTCATCTCAAACTTTCATTAGCACCATCTTCAGTTTTTTGGCTTTTTTATTTGTGTTGTTGGGTAATATCATTCAGATTCTACTGTAATATTTGTGGCATAAAAAGAAGTGTTTGAAAACTGGCATTTTATTCAAGCTTTTCTCTCTCCAGTTGAAAAAAAAAATCCTCATTTTTTAAAACAATAAAAGACTGCTTTTTAAGAATACAGTTTAAATAAATTGGTTTTTTATATTCAATAAAAATTCAAAACTATTCAAAGCAAGATGACTATTGGAGAGGAGCTTAAATCAAGTATTTTTGTCTTTTCTTATTTTTTTTTTTACTCTTTGTATCACTCCCAAAATCGACCAACACATCCAAGATTTCTTGGGTAAGGGGGAATATCAGGCCAGGATGTCATAACATACTTATCTAAACACTCAACAATCACCTTGTAAAAGGCAAATTTCTTTTTTTTTTTTTAAGGGAGCAGAATTATCTACAGTAATGAAATAATTATTAAAAATGCCCATTGGGTCAAAATGTATATAATTTTCAAAGTAAGTCTTTCAAAAGGACTAAAGTCTATACTTTTATCAGAATTAATTTTCTTCATAGAATCCTAGACTGATAAAGGCAAGGGAAAATACTTACAACTGTTAGTAATTTAGATTAGTAGTTAGCAGTTCAAATAAGCATATTTATAGCATAAATATATAAATAAATGTTAGGGGGTTCCCTGTAACTGAATATCCTAGTTACCTTAAGAATAATCATAAAGCTATATAATAACATACAGAGTGAAAAGTTTCATTGTACTGAGATCTGACAACATACATCAGGCATTCAATAAATATTTGCCAAACTGAAATGAGGTGAAAAAATTAGAATACAACAAAATTTACTAAACATCAAAACTATGGAAGATCATATAATTTTTCTTTGGTGGTTCTTCTGTGAGTTCTTACTGTACAGCATTGAGAGAAGTGTTTTGGTATATTTCTTAAAAACCCATCAGATTTCTCTACCACTTCAATTTCCTTGTTTCATCATAGGTGACTGGAAAGAAAGCTGGCAGTCTTACCATTCTGTACCTGAATTTTGGAAAATGGTAAGTTCTCTGGAAATTAAAACAAAAACAAAAAACACAACAAAAAACAGTAACGCCCAAAAGACAGAGTAAGGCAAAGTAAAAACAACTAAACTTTTTTCTTTTTAGACCTTTATGTTCACTCCCACATGATTTCTCTTAATTGGAAAAACTAGGTCTCAAATACGTGGATCACTTAGATACAAGTTCATCTACTGACATAAATGGAGAGCTGGATTCAGGTGATACAGGAGAATCAGCAGTAGTAGTGACTTTAGCCGGGGGGATTATTTCCATCAAAGGTATCTGAAGACAAACGAGAAGAAATAAATGTCACAGAAGTTGAGATGTGTGCAATGATTTGCTCCATTAAATATTTCAAATCTGATGAAAAATATTTAATGCAATTGCTTTTAAAGGCCTTGGTAGTAAAATTAGAAAGAAAATAATTTCAAGTTCGGCAAGAATTTTTTGTTCTTGTGTTTTTCTTAGGAAAGCTGAACATCCTACTGACTTGCCAACACATTTTTCTTTTCCCTCAAATAAATATTTGGTCCCCTAGCTGGTACAATTTATACATTTAATCACTGTACATGGATTTTTGTTTTTTTGGTTATCATCATAATTGACCAAAAGAAAGAGAGTTTCCTTTGCTTGCTCCAATAATTAAGTGGCAGTATGGTGTAGTGCACTGAATGAACGAAAGAAAAAGCATTTATTTTCCAAGCTGTCTTCCCACTCCTCAGTACTTTATGCTGGATGTTTCTGTTCTAGGGCCCTCCTCTTTTTTTCTCTATGTAACAGAGAATGCTTGCTGACCTCATGAGCGTCCATTGACTTGATAATCATTTCTATGTGGATAATTTCTGTAATCAACAGCTCTAATCATCTGCATAACCAACTCTCTGAGAGATATTTTGAATTATACATCTCAAATTCAATGAGCCCAAATCATAACTTTTATCTCTTCTTCCAAATCCTCTCCTTTTCTCAACTTTCCATTTCTAACCCAGTTGAAATGTTAGTGTCATCCTGAGTTGTTACTCATAATCATTCTACATAACCAATCAGTTGTAGTTCTATTACAATAACTCTAATATATGTCCCCTTCTCCCCACTCATACAACCATCTGTAAAAGCTATAACTTTCTAATTGTCTCAAATTTATCTTTATCACAAATCCTCCAAAGTGATCTCTGTAACCCATGTCATCTATTCCTCCTCCTCAATAAATTCCAAGCTTTTTATTACCAAAATTAAATATAAAGTCCTCTGGCAATTAAAAGCCCCTTGCAATGTAACCCTTTCTGACCTCCAAGTCAAGCTAGCGATCACTTATAAAATGCTTATTGTGCACCAGGC